CCCCAAAACCCCAAAACCCCTAAATCAAATATTGTAATGTAATTTAATAAAAGCAAAATCAATAATCAAATATCCGTTTCCCAAAATTAACTATTTTCATAATTTGACTATTAAGAATTCTAGTCTTACATTCCATACTTTTCCAACTTTAATTGTTCATTTCTCTCATTATATTTTATCCACAACATACAATTCTTAACCTCCAATTACTTCTATCTGCATTGCAAGTACATGGCTGAATTTGGAACATATATTCTGAAGCTTTTATGCGTATATTTATATATCTCTCTTAAATCATCTTTCTTAGCCAATTTATAGTTCAATTTTTTGTCAATATCCTTTGCTTTTTTATTTAGAATTTTACTCTGCAATTATTCATAATCTTTGAGACATTTATTTATAAACTCGAGATTTTCCATAATTCTAACCTATTTTACACCCATATATTTATTAATAATCCTTTTCTTTTCTTTTTTCAATACATCTAATTCAGCATATGCACTATCGAAATTTGGAGCCCTATATACTACAAATTTGCTTCTTTATGGAGGATTATCAATATAATTTTGAATAAGTTACTCTTTGTCCTATATATTCTTAATTTACTATCTATCAGAATCAAGTATCTTTATCTTTGGTGGAAAGCCTTTGCTATTAATAAGATCATACATATATTATTTATACTTGACCCATTTAACAAAAGGTTTCCTAACTTAAGATGTGAATACATCACTATTTGAAGGTCTTTAGATAAGCCCTTTTAACTTTTTAAAGTATATTGGATAAACTAAGGCTTCTTTAAGATTGTGATACTAATCCAAAAGCTTGATTGCTTAATACCTTAGAAATCTGAAATCTTCATCAAATTTCAAAGCCCAACTTAAATATCCAAGAGCTAAATGACCATGATTGCATTCAAGAAATATCTAGATTGAATTTCTATCAATTGAATAATAATTAGCATCTCTGAATGTACTTAAAAAGTTATCAACATATGGCTGCAATTGTTGCTAAAAGCTCTCTTATAAGAACAAAGGTAAAAAAGTATGAAGCAATGTTTCGCCTATACTTTTTTCATAATCTGACATTTCACTAAATTTGGGATAAGAATTGTTTAGTATTTTTCTAAGAGTAGGAATTTTCCACTTTATCTTTTCATATACACTGTTATCAATATGAATTCTATAGAATTCCTTTCCTCTCTAGATTAAGAAGCAAAGTACTAAAAATATTTGAACTACCTAGTTCTATAATTCATCAATTGTAAGGTCAATCTCAAATAAATCTTGCTAATTTTATAGGACATTAGCTTATTCCAGAGCAGCTATTAAATTACTAGCCATAGTATATCTGTACATAAACCCTGATTCTTCAGATGCTCTATTGATAACTATCTCACAGTGTAAAGGGTCTTCTTACAAAATTTGATAGGGAAGGCTTTCTTCGAGAAACTCAAACTTAATAGTTAATTTAAGAAACTCATTCTCAATAAGTCTAGACTCATCTCTTACAATTAGTAATAATCTGCAAATTCCCTCTTCAGTAGAGAAAGCTGCGAAAAATTACTCTTAAAATTCTCGTTCTAATCTCTCATATTCTTCTCTTCTAGCCTCTTCTTCCTTTCTAGCCTATTCTAATTTTAAATCCTCCTCTTCTTTTCTAGCCTATTCTAGTTTCAAAGCCTCTTCTTGTAATTTAAGTTCCTCTTCACTTAGGTTATTTTCTTATGTCTTCTATTCTTCGATGTTCTAGTTTTAATCACTAGTGCCTACAGATTTTTCATTTAAGCTACTTTAAACTTAGCTTTTTGAGACTTCATTTTATGTTTCTTCCTTCTTTTTCTCTTCAGTATCCTTAATTTCTTCAACATTCTTATTATCTCCTTCCTTCTTTTTTTCTTCTTCCTAATTATTTTCTCCTTCCTTCTTTTTTTCTTCTTCCTTTTTATCCACTCCTTCCTTCTTATTCTCTTCTTACTTATTGTTCTCTCCTTCCTACTTCTTTTCTTCTTCTTTCTTATTCTCTTCAGCACCCTTATTTTCCTCAACTATCAATGATTCTAAATCATTCATATTTTCGTCTGCTTTCTTATTTTCTTCAATTTACACTTTCAAATTATCTGGATTTGTTTCTGCTAGTTAGATAATATTATTCAAATCTTCTTGGTCTTAATCCTCATTTTGCATTTCTACTTCCTTTATCTAATTCTATTAAGCTGAAACTGCAAAAGGAAATAGAGGCTTAAAGATATTTTCAATGAACTCTGGAGATTAATTTGAAAACAAATTGGTAAAATCATATTTTGTCTCATATTTATTCATTGGTTAATCTTATTTTTATATAGTTTAATTTTAAACTGATGTTACCTATTAAATTTGTGTTTAAGGTATTTATTATTTCTGAATAAATGGCTAAAAAGCAAAGGTAAAGACACCTTGCGACTAAACTTTTTTTTGTTCTTATTAAAATAACTACTGCTGAGATATATTTTGTATCTACATCATTAAGTTGTTTTATGAAGGAGTATATGGTGTAAAAAGTGGTTATTTTTTTGGAGTCTCATATGATTTTTTTTCTTCTTCTTCTATGTAGGTTTATTAGTTTAGCTTTTTACCATTAATTTCTAAAATATCAGAATGATAAGACAGAGTTATTTCGTCTTAGTATGAAAATTTTCCTTCCATTATATCGACTGCTATATCTAATTGACTTGGTTTAAAATTAAATACTGGAATTATCTTAACCTCTTTTATTTGAGATATATTATCAAGAGTAGATATATCATAATCTATAATAGCTTCTCTAGTGAATATATATCTTTTTTTAAGTTTTGGATCATAAATAAATTTTGCTAATTTTGGCTTTTTTGTGTTTAAAATAACTGTGTGAACTTCAACGGCTTTTATTATCACTACAAAAACTGCTTAGGTTTCGTCTGCATTTAACTAAATTAGATATACAATCCTTAGTACTTTATCATAGTAGAAGTCTAAAATAGGCTCATTATTAGTATAGTCTAACTCAAAGTCTTCAATTAACCTAGCAAAAATTTTATCAAGCGTTGTTTTAACATTGTAAAAGTTAAAGACTATTTTACTCTTCAAAGTTGTACTTTTAGACATTAGCAAGGTGTAAAATATGAAGTTATCAAGTTTTATAGTAAATTCAGTATCCCAGCAGACAGCAGCCAATTGATGAGTCATGAGTCTTTTAGCGTCGCTTGTTTGTATAGATTATTAAGTGGTAAGGTTACTAACTTTTACCAAGCTTCCTTTTGGGCAAGAAACAAAGAGAATATTTTTAAAGAGGTCATTCATTAGCTCTGCACTTGCCAAATATATAAGATTAGGCTCTGGGAGAGCAAAGTGCATATAAAATTACGCTCCTACTTAATTTGCGTATAATACTGATACAGTAGGCTCATCTTTCAATTCATAAAGGCTTTTTGAGTTGACATAGTGATCTATCAAAAGCATGACTAATCTTTCTAAATTCACTCGGATTCCTATTAGATATTTCGCCCCAACAACGTGTGTTGTTGTTAAGATAAGGTCAAATTCTACTGCGTGAGTAAATGTGTATAGCTTCGAAGTAGTATTTGTATTTAAATAAGTCATCACGAGATCTATAATTTATTAACATATACGAAAAAGAGTTTATATTAAAGCTTTAAAAGCTTTTTAAAGTTTGTTATTGAGTTTATAACCACTCTGAGAAATATTTAAAAAAATAGAAATAGACAGATATATTTATTGTCGACTTTACCTTGATCCTCAATGTAAAGAACATAGTTCAGATCCCCTTTATACATTACGAGTCGCTTCATTTAAATTTAAATTTGTAAATTAAAATAATTATAATAAAACTAATTATTATTTTTAATAATGGAAAATATATCAGTCTCTTCTCGAACAGGCGATAATTTGAAGCCTAAAAATAAGGAAATTTCTTTGTTTGGATTATTTATTACTCATATGAGACAAACAAAGGAAATAGAAAAAAAGTTCAAATATTTCGTATTCTACTTGTTAAATCCAGACGCATTGCAATCTTCATATAAAGTCAGAAACTTTATCACAGGATATGTACCCTCAAAGTATACTTTTGGAGTAAAAAGGTGGCCTTTAGTATAAGAGTAATGAATTTTCAAAACTTAGCTAAATGAGTATGAGGATAAAGTTCCCATTAAGAATGATGACACTCCGTTGATGAACTAAGAATTAAAAAGAGAAACACAGTGGGAGTATCTCTAGGAAATAAGGATGTATAGTGATAGAGTTGATAATTCTCATGGGGCTACAGTGAAAACTTGCAATAGAATTTAAATCAAAGAAGATTCCTCAACTTTCTCAAGGAATTTTATCAAAGATACTGGCTACTAGATTAAATATGAGTAAGATTTCATTGCTAACTATTCTAACTCTTTAATAGTTATCGTTTATTAGGAACAGTTTATAAATTCGTATTGAATGATTTTTATGACTTAAAACTATTGATACCAATAAGTAAGCAATCAAATAAATACACTGCAAAGCTTATGCTATTTACTTTTGAGGAATAATAGGTAAATTTATCTTAGACTTTTCATAAAATTTTTTCTTGCAGAGTGTATTAGTTCAAGGATAATAGCAATAGCAATATAAGAAAGTTAATCTGTTAAGCAAGATCTGTGGGACTGATTAAAGCAGTTTGGATGAAAGCTAAATGATGAATGATTCTGATTAGGTAATTAGCTAGGATAAAAAGGGTAAGTAATACTTAAAATTATTTAGTATCTTCTTAGATGACTATTCTTTAACTCATGAAGTGCAGTAAGTTTAGTTGATTGGTTATTGCTCAGATGAGGACTAGATATTTTACTCCCAGATGTTTATTAAATTTGCTTAGAAATTCGATAAGTAAGAAAAATAATAGGATTTACATATATTTAGTTTCTTTAAATTAAGGCCTGCTAGTAGTAATTCTGTATCATGATTTTAATTAATCTTCTAAAATGTCATAAAAGAGTAATAAGTAATGACGGGGTTTTGGGGTTTTGGGGTTTTGGGG